CGTAACCGCGTGTCGTGACAGCGAGGCGTGAGAAGAAACGGATGGAGCCATGATGCAGCCTCTGTTGCTGCCCTTCTCTGTCCCAGAAGTGATGCCACTTTCCGTCCATAACATCTTTCTCTGTTTTCCCCTTCACTGCCTATTTGTTTTCTTCTCTCATTCTGTGTTGTGATTTGTAGTCTACCGAAGCAACAGTAGTGGTGGTGGGGCCGGCGCGTGTTGCCTCCGCCCGTCCGGAATCGTGCTGTGCGCCGCGGACACATACAGAGAACCACCGAGACACAGGCTGGGGAGTTGGCGAGAGACAGGGGGGGGATCTCTGCGCGCAGCTACAGGTACGAGGGGAGTGCGCACCACACGGAGCCACACGGTGCAGCAGGGGCAGAAGGAGGAACCCAACGGGCGTGGCGGTTGTAGCACTGCTGGTGACACAGTGGGATACCCAGCAGCAACTGCAGCAGCAGCAATATGCCGCCCAAGACGCTCCGCTACTCCAATGACGGCAGGAAGCCGCGGCCTGCGGTGGGGCGTGCCAACGGGAAGGCCAACACGATGGTGGCGTCGACTGCAGCAACCGTAACAGCAGGCGCGCCGTCGTCCTGCTGGCAGGGTAGCATGCGCCCAACGAGCAGAATGTCAATGACGACAAGCGGTGTGCCCGGCAGAGTCATATCCGCCACGCCTCTGCGCGACACGGCAGCGGCGGCGGGACGTGGCAACAACAACAACAACATCAGCAGCAACGGTTCCTACAAGACGCCGCTGCTTGCCACGGATGAGCGCAGCGGCGACGCTGCCCCGCCGCTGCTGTACCGCACGGACCTGGACAAGCACGTCATTCACTTCGCCTTCCAGCGGTTTCCGCGCAGCATTGAGATCATGGAGGAAGACGACGTGATGACGGGCGATTGGCACTTCTTTTGGATGAATGTGGCGCGTGTGCGCAGCATCTTCTCCACCTCCGAGTACCGCCTGACGGACTCCCAGATCATCAACCACTTCCCGAACCACTACGAGCTGACGCGCAAGGATCTGATGTACAAGAACATCAAGAAGTACATCCGCGAACCCTCCAACGCGCAGCTGCGGGTGACGTTCACACCGCCAGGCATAAATGAGGGGGACGAGGGTGACTGCAACCGCAACTGGCTGCGCT